AAAAAAATAGAAAAAAAAAAAAAAAAAAAAAATGTGAAAAAGACATCTGTATAAATCCAGAGAATTATTAATATATACAACTCCGCGGAGCGTTTCCCGTGACGTTCGTTCAAAGTCAGTAAAATATTCGATCGTTTTGGAGTACGGTGTCCTGCGTTTCGGCGACGGATTTGCAGTGTTTTTTTTTTTTTTTTTTTTTTTTCATCAGGAATTTCACTGGCGCACCGCGTATGCCTTTCGCGGTCTTTTGGAAAATAAATGACGTCGGCTTTCGCGCCGGGAGTGCGCGTATGGGCGTGTACAGACCCAGGCGGGGTGATCGATAAATTCATTTATTTTCAAACACGATTTCGCGAGCCACTCAACGGTCTCGTATCGAATTAAATACTCGTCTGGCCTGGACAAATATCCAGACAACATCTGCGAGCAATTTCGCCGTGAAATATTCCGGCTGGCGTGTTTGTTATTATTATTCCGTCGTATTATACCGCGTATCATTGTGCCAGAAAGAGAAATATCCCTCTCTCTCTCTCTCTTTGTTTCGCGATAAATTTCATCTCGCCGGATGATTAAGAGTAATTATCTATCGGTTTCTATCGGTTAAGTGGGTGGTTGTAAACGCGTTGTAATAAGTTTCGAACGGTCACGAATTCTCCGCGATAGAGAGGAGAAATACTCGAGGATTTCGTGACGCCGGCCAATAAAGTCAGCGGCCGCTAATTTTTAGGACCCCTCGGAACGTACGCAGGGGCCGATGTTTGTAGGCCGATCGATCGATCGATCGATCGATCGAGAAAGAAGGGTCGTTCGTTCGTTCGTTCGTTCGTTCGTGCGCGAAACCACCTACGGCGAAGGAAATACGGCTTTCAGATCTTCGGCCGCGTTTAGATTCCAATCTAATAAATACTTCCCCGTTTCGACGAAGGGGCTCTCACCCCCGAGGTGAGTAAACGTACCCGTGAGAACGTTGTTCTTTTTCTCGCCCCGTCACCTGCGTCGATCGTTACGCAGGATTCCATAATGGAGAGTTGTTGCGATCGATGTTCGCCTTGTGGTGCTACCCCCCACCCTTTCTCTCTCTCTCTCTCTCTCTCTCTCTCTCTCTCTCTCTCTCTCGTACGAATCATGGATTTGGGTGCCTGTGGATATGCACGTCGTTTCGCGTCGCTTATCTGTTTCTTGACTCGTCTGAAGTTGCGATTATTAAGCGAGAATATCCTCGAGCTTTGACTCTGTTGATACAACATTTTCCTCTCTCGATTGGAAACTTCTTTATCGAAAGTTCTCGTGGAAATTCCTTCAAAGATCAACGATCCGAGTGACGAGTTTGTTCGCGGGTTAATTTCAATTTTTCCACCGTGACGATGCTATCCTCTATTCGAAGCGTCCGAAGTACTCGCCGTGTTATACGTTGACGCGAGCGACAGTGTGCAGGAACGTCGGATCGACGAAGGTGGCGGAGAGGCAGGAGGGAGGAGAGAGGAGGCACGATACGGAGATAAAAATCCAATTTAATCCCCGTAATCTTTACGGCGGCGGATTTAACCCTGTTTGCCACGGTGGCGGGGGTGAAGCTCGTGCGAAAGAATAGTAATTTTAATGGCGCGCCTAATGACACCGGGCCGGCTCGAGATTTACGGCCAATCGGCGAATTGCGGGTGCAATCGCTCCATTAGGAAACCGGTGGAACGGCTGGAACCGGTAAAGGATCGATGGCAATCGCGACGGGTCATTATATCGTGTGTCTAGGTATTACATAAGCGACGACCTTCTCTATCCGCTTCCCTTCCGTTTTACTTTATTATTCTCCGTCGTCGTCGTTGGCCTGACGTATCGCCGCACGGCACACCCACGACGCCCATAATTCACTGCGAAAACCCATGCAACCCGTTCCTTCGTTTTCCTCGGCCATTGGCCACTGTATGCACACACATACGCGACAGCGCGAGCTGTTTTGCAACGCTCGCTGTCCCTCGCCGTGTCTGTCACTACCGTGCACTTATCGCGTTCTAGAGTGTATACACGATATAATTCTAGCGTCCAGCGATTCCACCAGAGATCCCTGCGAGCGCGCACCGGCCGAGAGATATCGTCACGTTTTTACCTTTTTTCCGCGGGCAGTCACGGTGCACACACACGTGTGCAACTTATCGTTTCGTCGCGGCCTTTGCGATACGCGCGCTGTCGTATGTCGTAGACCCGCGGCTCGCCAGACCTCGATTCCTCGGTGTAAATAAATATGTACACTCCGAATTTAACTCGGTCGCGTGGAAAAGCAAAAACCGTAAATCCAAATTCGCCGGTGATGTTCAATTAATATTTTTGACGATATATTTTAATATTCTTCTGCGACGTTATTTTTTTCTGTGCCAAATTTTTCAATGGTCAACCCTCTTGTAACACGCTGCAAAAATTATACGACAGCCTTCCTATATCATATTGATCTGATAACACGGTTTAGGTTAGTTTCCATATAGCATGATAAGCAGAACCCCTTGGCATACGAATTAAATGAAATTCGATGTAACCAAAGATGAATGTAAAATGTGACATTTGTGTAAACTTAACGAAGATAGTTTTTACACTCTTGCCATGTCAGGCATGTGGCAAATATTTTTTTTATAGCCTTATATACACGTATTAATTAATGTGCGAACGTTTCAGAAACGTCATTGTATGTCAAAGGTTTAACACTAGAACCATTGGAGATTAAAACGGAGATGTTAAAGTAAAAAGAAAAATAAAAAAATAAGAAGCTTTGCAATATACTGAAGTACACAAGCTTTTATTTATACGTTTTGCGAAAAATCATTTAAATCTCTAAATATATACTGTTTTACATCTATCAAAAAAAAAAAAAAAAAAAAAAAAACCCCACCAAAAAAACAAAAAAAAAAAATTATAAATTGGTCATTTTGACCATTTTGATCGTTCTAGTGTTAATAAACTTGGACAACTTGGTTCATGTAGCATTTTTTCAATCGCACTGTATTCCAAGCTTCGCTACAATACAATATCTTCCATTAATAAATACTCGGTGTATGTTGTATCAATAAATAATAAACTGTATTTTATTTTCAGAAACAAGAATGCAGACATCATTAGTGCAATCTCGAGATATACGTCAGAGATGTTCGACTGGGTGAGGCCCGTTCCTTTTTTTCTACGCGCGATTTTCAAAGGAGAAGAGGAATATTCACGGAATATGCACGATACGTAAAGGTGAGCAGCGAGTCGCATTTTCGGTTTACTTCGGCAGAAGGGGTTCCCCGGTTCCTCCATTCTCACGACGATGCTATCTGACCGTACAACTGCGAAGCAGCCTGTGTGTTAGCTACCTGGCGCATTATGCCACCCCATATAGGCCCCCGCTTGTTCTCCTCTCATTAACGCCACGATGAATCTATTCATCGACACCATCGTTCACAGCCGGAACACGCACGAAAATGAAAAATGAACGGGGATTAACGCGTCGTTGACTGATCCTGGCCCTATCTCCCGTTATATCGGGTTTCTCGCGATTTAGGCTTTTTTTTTTTTTTTCTTTTCTACGATGGTGTTCTGAAGATTGGTTGGATGAGTGTCAAAGTCGGGAGATTAATGGTTAACCCTTTTGAACCTACGTATACCTACTGCGTGTACCTCAGTCGAGGTACATGTGTACATTTATGTTAGGAGAAGTTGGAATAAATTCAACGCAATCGATCTCTTTGCTTCCACGAGTTGTATATTCTTTTGCACAATATTCTTCTGAAAGTGTTGGAATTTATTAATTTGGGGCAGTGGAATGTTAGTTCTCCAGGGTTTTACTTTTAATATCGTTTGAATTGAATATCTGATTTTACAGACACGTGTTTAGTGTTCACTAGCTTCATTCTTTCTAGAACTTTCTTTCGTTGTACATACCGTATAATATATACAAAGTAAGTCACACCTACATACGTATACAACTCTCACACTTTGACACGCTGAACATGTACGCGTATATGCGTCGGCAGTTACACTATAACAGAAACAATATTGTATATTTTTTTACTCAACTTTTTCCTCTAGTTTGTGGACGAGCTGTCTTACTTTACATCGGAATCTTCAGTTTAATCGAAAAAAGAAACAAAGTTAAGTATCTCGAATGTCTAGTAATCCAGCGTAAATTTCAACCCCAATGCTGAATGTTGTGACGGTTAAAAGTCGTCTTGAAAAAAACACAAGCACAATTACTGCCACCGTAGTAGCGTTTAAAGGTCATTTCGACCAGTTCTCGAAACTCAATCATCGAAATCACACCGACCGAGGGAAAAAAAAACGAGACTAGGGGAGTCTGACAGGACGAGGCAGAGGAGAGGACTGCGGAATCGACATTAGTCGTTAATGAGAGAACGGTGGTTACTGGCCACACCATCGTGTCACGCCATCGGGGCAGTCGGCGAGACCCCATCGTGAGAGCATCTCCGTACCGAAACACCGTGGTAGACTATTCACGCTATATTGGTGGAGGAACGGGGGGGCCCACATTATCGCGGGGGGAGGACACGTGGCTACTTTATAGCGAAGCGACGACCGAGGGGGCGCCGAACGTGCACAAGGGAGCGCTCATCTTTTGACCGGACGCTCGTCCATCGTCACTCCGCGAGCTAATGGACCAAAGTTTACCCGCTCCGCGGAAACTGAACCGCGAAACATATTCACGTGCGCCGAAAATACGTATTGTTTTTAGTGCGTACAATGTCCTTTCTTTCCGTTTTTTCCTTCTCTCTGTTTCTGTTTTTTTTTTTTTTTTTCATTCGGGTTCGGTCAACACGCAGTCAGAAGCATTACAAAACTCAATTTCCGGACGCTGGCACGATTTTTCGTCGAGGGTGGAAGGGAGTAGAAAGGCACGACCCGCCTGGGTCGGTCAATGCGCGTATTTCGGGCTTGACATCAATCGACCGCGAGCAGCAGGGGGAAAACCTTTGGTGTCGCGCGGACGGAAGCCCGTGCAATTAATATTCGCCAATCCAGCGGACCACCCTTCAACGGGAAATCGATAGCGTCCCGGAGTCTGCTCGAGTACCCGAGAGTCTTCTTGCTTCAATGTTTCTGTTGCGGTCGCTGACTGTGGCCGACGACGAGAATGAAACTTTAGAAATTCATCGCCGATTCGAAATCACATCTCTCTGTTTCATTGAATATAATTTTCTTGGGTGGTCGACCGCTGGTCTAACTTTTTCTCTAGCGCGGCCAAGTTAATAATTTGCATTTCGATTGTCCTCTGTAAGGGAGACATCTTTACTTAAATTTGGTAACAGGTGAAATTATAAACTTGATAGTTACAGTGGACCTAGGTATGGCATTGTGTGATGTAGGTAAGTACAAATTTTCATTATCATTGATAACAATTCGGGATAATTCGTGTAATGTTAATTAAAATTCTCACTGCTTCTTACGAAATTTTTCAGAAAATTGAAATTATGTATCCATTAACATTAACTTCTATATACTTGGTGATTGCTTCGAAACGAAGTCACGTACTAGAGAAACGTAATCAACGAAATTTCATGCCAAATACCATTTAAACAGGTTGTTTGATTGTTTCCAATGCTATATCGTTTCGTTTCAAGTGAAGTTACTTTACTCGTTATTTCAATGTTGAACAACAAAAACAGAGGGCTCGTCGAGACGAGACGAGAAACGCAATTTTAATATTCAGCATTTATCAGGTAATAAGATCGTCAAAATAAGTTTGTGCGACCAGTGTTGAAACGAACATCGTATCTGTTGAGAGATTTTTTTGAGATTTGTATTTTGAAAAACGCACAAATCGTAGTGGAACATGCATAGAACGTATGGATTCCCGTGTGAAACGAACAATTACACAGGAATCCCGTGATCGAAGTCTGAGTTTGTTTTCCACGCGTGTATTTGCACACCTCCAGTTTGCACGCGCGTGAAGCAGCGCACGTTGGCGAACGATCGGGAAGGGGTGAAGTGGCGAGCGGAGAGGATTTTTCTACGGCGTTCGGTGGCTGGGGAAAAAACAAAAAAAAAAAAAAAAAAAAGGGAGCTATATCCGATAAGCATCGCGGGCCTCCCGGTTTCGTTTCGCTCGTTTATCACCATTTTATCGCCGCGCGTGATTACCTGGCCGTACTCGACGTTAATTTACATTTCCTTCGGCTTTGTGCGTTGCTTCTGTTCGTTCACGATTAGCGAAGAGGAGGAGAAAAATTGACACGGTGTCCCCTGGACGCCAGTAAACTCGATACTCGAGGAGATGCAACCGGTCCCCGCGTGTGCCCTCCTCTTGTTTTACGATTTGCCGAAGCGAGGAAGAGAGAAGAACTGCTCGAAACGCTCAGTCATGGGGTTTTATCGCCTCGCCACGTCTAACGTAACCAGTCGGAGGATTTCGAGCGGCTGGCCCGTCGTAATTAAAATTTTAAAGCCGACGATGATTCTTCCAGCCTCTTCGTGTCCTATCGTCGCGCGCGGGGCTCGCGTTAATGACCTCCGACCCCGGAACGTTTTACAAAACGACTTTGCTTCCACTCGGCTTTTATTTGCATACGTGTAAACAGACACGCGGGTTTCTTCGACGCACGAACGTTTACGAAGTGTAAATTAACGCAACGCGGCACTAATTTACGTAGCCCGTCCCCTACCACCTTCCTTCTTCCTCTCGTTTCACCGGATCCGGGAGGATCGTAAATGGAAATCAATGCGCAATAGTTATAATCGCGAGAGCGTTGGCTTTATATGTGTGAATGTATGATATGTACATGTGTGTTGTGTCTGGTGTGTTGTCCTTTGTTTTGAAGAGGAGTCAGTCGTAGAGAAGATACCGCACTGTGATTACAAAGAGAGAGTGTGAGAGATCGAGAAATCAAGAGTATCAGCGTTATGAACTAACTTGCATTTGCTCAAGTATATATTTTAGTATATTATTATACTAATATACTAAAATATATAGTATGTATTTAGTATATTATTAATATACTAAGTATATACTAAGTATACTAATATAGTTATACTAATTATATACTAAGTATACTAAGTATATAGTATGTATTTAGTATATTATTTCATTATTTAGTATATATTTAGTATATATTTAGTATATTATTTCATTATTTAGTATATATTTAGTATATATTTAGTATATTATTTCATTATTTAGTATATATTTAGTATATATTTAGTATATTATTTCATTATTTAGTATATATTTAGTATATATTTAGTATATTATTTCATTATTTAGTATATATTTAGTATATATTTAGTATATTATTTCAAGTATATATTTAGTATATTATTTCATTCTATGATCCGCTCACATATACAACGCCGTATGAAAGCAAAAGTCGCACGACACGTCGGACTCGAAACCAAGCCGAGACAGTAGGCGCTCGACGAACGCGAAACGGATTTTCTTCGTTCCGATTTGTCGCGGCTCCGAAGTCGTCGGTGAATCACGCGAAACGGATTCTCGGTGCGATCGACCAATCGCATTATCGGCGCGAGAACGTCGTTTTAAGGGAATCGTCGACGATTTGCTCTCGGTGTCTGGGAAACGCACGTGCGTGCGCGATTCGCCGTCCCGTCGTTCCGTTCGACTGCTTGAAAAATGCCTCGAGACGCGTCGCCCGTTGTTCTTGGCCGTCTCGTCGACGTGAAAAATCGACGCGCGAACGATCCGACGTCTCGCGATTTGTCAAATTCCCTTCTTCTCCCGTGATCCCGGACACAACAACAACCGAAACGACTGTCCATCGGGAGTGGCTTTCTTTCTTTTTTCCAACTGGATATATATATATATATATATATATGTGTGTGTGTGTGTATATATATCGGTATCGTGCGTGAAACACGCGTGGAGCTGGCCTACCGCGCGCGGACAGAAGAAGAAAGAGGGACGGCGTTGCGCAACGTCGGGGTTTTAGGTTTCAAAATGATTGGGGTGAAATTGGGGTAAGCCGATACCGTCTGGCTACCCTCGATGTGATTTCCTTCAAGGGCGATACACGCGTACCTACCGGTCAATTTAGAGGCCGTCTGTCACTCGTGGAAGAAAAGATCCTGAAAACTCGCGTTCTCCCAGACTTTTCATCCTCTTTTTCTCTCTCTCTCTCTCTCTCTTTTTTACTCTTTCCCTCGTAATGATTCCGCGTCACGAGAGACGCTTCTTCTCTCGCCCTGTCTGTCTTTTCTCCGTCTCGGGTTTCGATCTTCGGTCGGGTGCCG